GGGTGTAGATTGGAATGAGAGAGGGGGATGGAGGGAGTGAACACAGTCCAGAGAGAAGAAGAACGTGAGAGAGTGAGGAGGAGAGCCGTTGAAGGGAGGGGGAGCACGATTCTGCAATGGATTTGACCAGTGACTCAGCAGTCTCCTAAAAACATGTTTATGCTCTGCTGCTACAAAGGAATCCTTATAACAGACTCTAAAATATGACTCAGAGGAATATGAGAGTCTCAGCATCAATACAACTGCAGTTATACGACTTATTTAAGATTATACGACTATTTTGTTTTTTTAAAGATCTCTTATTTGCATCTAATGTTCGATCGGTCAGCTGTATCTTACAATATGCAGCGTAGTACACTGATCTGACAAAAATAAATTCACTATATGACAGTTATCCATTACATTATCTTTGTAAACACAAGCAATATGAGCAAGACATTTTCTTGGAGTGAGAGAATTATATTTTTATTAAGGGTCAGTGCTTTACAGTGCATAAGCTGATCACAACCTGCTTACCTAAATAAATCAATGGACAAGAAATATTAATTAGATTTTTTTTAATTAACTGAGATGAAAGAGAAAGTTGTTTTTGTGAAAGTGATACAAGAAGTGAATTACTAGCACTATTTAGGAAATAGAAATAGATGTGATAAATTTTAGTGGCCATTTTACAACAATATTGGACTACAGGATGCTGCAATCGATTGACCAGAATCAAGTATTCTAGAGAGCTGCATAATATGTAAAATGGGTGAAAATCCATGAAGTAGTAACAGGTTTGACCTGTTCACCATATCAGTTTTATATTGCCTTGTATTGTCGTGCCATTTCCTGAGTCTCATTTCAACCATTATGTAATTTGTAATAATTTTTCAAAAGTTATAGTGCACCCAAAAATGAAAATTTGCTGAAAATGTACTCACCCTCAGGCCATCCAAGATGTTGATGAGTTTGTTTCTTCATCAGAACAGATTTAGAAATCTGGAGAAAGCAATGTTATGGATAGAGGACTCATATTTTAGATGGAAACAATGGTTTGAATTATAAAAGCATTTAAATTATAGATTTGTTTCTTATAAATATGCAGCTTTTCGCTTCACAAGTCATTAATTGACGGACTGGAGTTGTGTGAATTACTTGTGGATTATTGTGATGTTTTTATCAGCTGTTTGGTCTCTCATTCTGACGGCACCCATTCACTGCAGAGGATCCATTGGTAAGCAAGTGATGTAATGCTAAATTTCTCCAAATCTGTTTTGATGAAGAAACAAACTCATCTACATCTTGAATGGCCTGAGGGTGAGTACATTTTAATTTTTGGGTGAACTATTCCTTTAAGCATTACAAAATACAATAATATTAGTGTTCTCAAATATTATAATTCTAACTCTTACTGTCAATTGCAACTGAGAAAATCAAGATTTTTATACTGCACAGTTTTAAAACCCCTGCACTATAAAAGCACAAGACCAAATTGTTTAAGATCTTCTGTTTTACAATTACTTATCACTACTTGTGTAGCATTTTCTATCCTGGTGACCTTAATCCTGCTGTTTTCATTTAACATTTACACAAAAGTTTGCTTGGGCTGCCTTGTCACTCCAGTAGACAATATTGTTCTAGCTGCTCATTACTTCTGTCTCCTTTGTCCAAGACATGCATGACCTATTTTTCACAGAGGTTCATTCCGATTTCTCTCTTTAGTTGGTTCACTGAGCCTGTTGAGTGAAAATTCCAGTCTGCAAGCTTTATAATTTGGGAAAGTGATATTCAGTCAGATAATTGATGAGCGGCTAGATTTGAGATGGGTGCCAATGTTGATAAGTGTTGTGACTGAGGCTCTCGAATACCCTAGTGCAGATATATGTCAGAAGAAATATTGATCCGTATTGATCTGAGCTTCAACTGAGTCTCCTTATACAGGACTGTAGTTTCATCTCACACCCTTTCATTCAATCCAAACTAAATATAATGGGTAATGTGTTCAAAAATATGAAAGATATTTTTCTCTCTCTTGGCTAACTAACTGCAATTTTTGGGCTGTTTACACTTCCAGAAGAGAGAAGCGTTATTTCTCATAGCAAGTGTTTAATTGTATAATTATTTATGTTTTTAGTGAGTCACATTTCTTAGGGATCTTATTTCATATATTACTATTAGATATTTTTCCCTCTCTTTGCTAACTAACAGCAATTTTGTAGCTGAATACAGAACCAGAAGAGAAGTATTATTTCTCCTGTAGTCAGGTTGTGAGAACAGTTTATGTGTTAGGCATAATAAAAATAAAAATAAAAATAAATAAATCACAAAAAAAATTTTAAATGCAAATTCATTATCACACATTATATATATATATATATA